ACCCTTAATTTAATCTATCGTGGAGGAATATACGATATAGCTTTATCGCCGTTACCCGTACCGACTCGATAAGAAGCCTACCGTAGTATCCTTTTATACGGTAACCTTCCTAGGTAAGGATTAAGAAGGTAAGAATTAGCGAGTATAATTAGGATAATAAGATAATTAGTAGTCCTCTTTATAGTAAAAGAAAGAGTGGCTTTACGACTACCGTAATAAGAAGAGGAGTAAATATAACTATAAGCTTTTATAGAAGTGCCTAAATGTTAACGAGGTATATAGGACAAAGGGATACACACCTTTAAAAGAAATCTTAGAACGCTGCGACCGGATTATTAAGACTTAGGATAACGAACGTTAAAAAAGATTCCGGGAGAATATCGAAAAGGACGCTAAAAGCCTAAAAACGGGTACTAAAAAGGACTCTTAGAAGTTATAGCCGAAAGAATCGTTAATAGAGGTATCTAATTGTATCGATAACCAGGATAAGGATTCCGATAAGGAATCCTATAGGATATACTCTCTTTTATAACTAAATGGTAATATTAGCAGTAACCTTTTTAACTAGCTATTAATCGATTCCGGGACCTCTAGGTATATTACTAACTAATAATACCTACGACAGGACTTCGAACCTGCTATAGAAGAGTATTATTTTTAGACGGGTAATAGAGAGACAAAGCTAGTTAAGAGTTATAGCAGGATATAATTAGAGATAGACGACGAATACAGTAATCCCTTCGTTTTAATACTAAATCGCGTTACTTTTATATAAGATTACCTAATAACCTTAATCGCGACTAGAAGATTAAAGGAATAGGGTATCGTTTTTAATTCCGGCCTTAAAGTGCTAAAGGTGGAGGGCTTCGTAGCCCTGCCTCTAAATAACGTTAACGATTAATACGCTCTTATTCTACCGGATCGTTAATAGCACCTACTAAGTAGCTTCTTTAATAGCTCTATAACGCCTACTATAAGCGTGGTAAACACTCGCTTATAGCACGAGAGGCTAAGGTATACCGGCGCTATTACTCTCGATGAAATTAGAGATACCCTTATCGGAGGCGTTATTAAAGGAAAAAGTTCTTTTATAGTGGATTATAAGGCCTATACCCTTAGTAAGGCGAAGACGGTAGTATCCAGACGGTCGCCTACCTACTAAACGACGATACCGTGGTATAGGGTGGAGGTTAACCTTTTTAGCTTTAATAAGGCCTATAACGGTATAAAGGTCGTGATACTTTTATACGATCCCTATACTTATTAAGCTATTATACGGTTCCCGCGTGACTATAAATTAGCCTTACCCACGTTAGTGAATTTTAAGTTCTTCTTTTAGAGGTAGTACCACTATATAATTACAGTAATCCACCTAGATAGAGAAAGATCCCTTTAGAAAGGCTTTGATAAATAGGCCGATAAGAGAGGGATTTTGCTTAAGAGGTTATCGCTATATATAGCCGCGTAGAATCCGAAGGCAGAACGCCACGGCGGCGTTATTTTTATTATCGCGAGGACCCTCGTAACGGCCTTAGGCATCTAATAGGATATATAGCCAGAACTAATGGCTGCTATAGTATATCTATATAACCTTATCCATCGGAAGGACCTTTAGTAGAAAACCCCTTAAGGGCAGATAGAGAATTAGATTAATAAATAAGGCCTGAAGAAGATTCTAATAAAGCCTATCGTTAACCACTTAAAGAGATATAGTTATAGGGTATATCTATTAACCGCCGACTATTAACGAGGTCGTAACCGTAACGCTAAGCTCGCGGAGAGAGTATATATCGGCTATTTAATCGGCTACGAGAGCACTAATATATATCGGATTTAGGTGCTACAATTAGGGAGGATTCTACGGACGAGAGACGTTACCTTTAACGAAAAACCGCTATATAAAGATTATAACCACGAACCTAAGGTGTTAATTAAGGTTTTCGAGCAGCTTAATCTGCCTATAGATTATTAACTCTATAATCCTCTGGGTATTACTACTGACGTAGTCGATTTCCACCCTTAAACGCTACTAGAATAGAATACTATAAGGGAGGCTATAGCGGCTACTGCTACTGCTAGTGCTTATAGGGGGGTAGATAGAGGTGCAGGTTTAATAACCACTATAGAATCTGTAGAAAAATAATAATAGCAGGAAGATTAACCTGCTAATTAAGAGACACGTGGAATAGGGTAAATAAACCCTATAACACCTTCCACGCTAACGCCTTCTATACCTCCGGCAGCACCTGCTTTAACGTCTTCTATAATTGCACCTAACATTATGCCTGCGACGGCACCTGTTTTCCCTCCTTTAATAACCATAAACGGCCCTCCTACACTATTAACTAGAACTACGGATCTGCCGCCTGTTTTTGAACGGCCTGACGATGCCGAAGATTAATCTGACGATACGGCCGTAACCGGCGATGCCGTTACGATAGGATTGTTATCCCCTGACTAATCGGTTCTTAAAGAGGAATTAACCACTGCCACCGCCGTTAATCTGGTATCTACGGCTCCTTCTACGGTAGAGCCACCTGCTATAGCTAAGTCTTTATAAACCTCTTCTTCTACTACTATAGCTAACTAACCTGCTTCTATAAGTAGAAGAAACCGCCCTCCTATTATTCTAACGGCCGCTACCGACCGGCCTGTCCATAGTAGGCGTCTAACCGACTATTATACCCCTCCTTCCTTTTATACCTTCTATAATTAGACTAAGATACCGAAGAAGCTGCTGCTACGCCGCGATATACCGAAGGAACCTCTAAACTAGTCTTAAGTGCTAAAGAGTCTCTATAAATTGGAATAGATTAAGGCCGCCTCCTAGGAGGTCGGCACGCTTAGGTTAATAGGCACCTTTAAACGGTGGGAATAGTCCTACTAGTAGGGGCACGGCTCGGGACTACCTGAATCAGTTCTAAGGCTACTAGACCTTCAATAGGTTTTTAAGTATAAAGTCGATCCTACTAGTTACGTTAATAAGTTTAAGGGGCGCCTTTACGTTTAAGGGGATTAATAACCTAATAGCCACCTTAACGCCTACGCCTCTACCCTCGCTAGCAGGACCTTTAGGTCGCTAATAGGTATTATAGCCTACTTCGATCTTAAGACTCGGTAACTTAACGCCGTTAACGTGTTTACTAATACCCTGCTTAACGAGGAAATCTATATTAAGGACCCTCCTAGTTAGTAGTTACTCTAGTCGGCTATAAGCCTTAAAGCCTATAAACAGCTCGAGGACCTTTTAAAATAACGCCCTTTTATATAACGTAGAGGGATTTAACGGCTACGCCGGGCGTTATATAGCCTTCGGCATTCCCTAAAGCTATAGCACTAATAGCTCTCTTTCGTACTAGGTAAGTGCGGTTTAAAGTAATTAACCGAAGACGATTACGTCTTTAAGAAAGAGGTCCTGATTACTTTCTTTTACGTTAACGATATTATCCTAATCTATCGTAAGGAATATTAATCTACTACTAATAACCTAGTATAGCAGATATAGAAGAGCTTCTAAATCAGGGATCTAGGACTAATTAAGTGGTTCCTTAGAATCTGCCTAGGACGCAATTATTAATAATATAAGCTATGGTTATCGCTTAATAACTATATCACCGATAAGATAAAGGCGTTAAAGGTGGATTATAAAGGGTATAGGGTTAAAAGCCCTCTTCCTTATCCTGACGTTCTAGAACCTGCCGACTAATAAGTCTCCTAGGAATTAATCTGTCTATATCTTCGGAAGGTCGGTTCTATTAATTACGCCGCCTATTACACCCGGCCTAATATCTTTAAAGTCGCTTTAAGGCTTACTGAATTTAGTATTACTCCTTTAAAATAGTATCACGAAGCTGCCGATAAGTGCCTAAAGTATCTCGGCTCGATAAAGACTCTATACCTCTACTTCGGACCACGTAAAGACTACTAAAAGCCTATACTCTTCTATACTTCCGACGCCGCCTTCGTAGACGACCGTAAGACTAGGTATAGCTCGTAAGGGTATATAACCCTACTATTTAGGGGTCCTATTAACTAGAAAGTAAATAAGTAAATAGACGTCGTGACCTTCAGTACTAAGGCCGAGCTAGTAGCCCTTTCTATTACTATTAGGTAGTATATCGCGACGAGGCGTTTAATAAAGGACTTTACCCTTACTTTTAAGGAGGAACTACTCATAGTATACTATAATAATTAATAAACTAAGTAGCTACTAGAATCCCTTAGGCCCTAGGTTACCTTAAAATTAAAGTATCTCGATATCCACGCCCTTTAGATCCGATAAACCGTTTTAAAAAGGACCGTCTTAATTAATTAGATTACTACCCACGATATAGTTAGCGATAGCCTTATAAAGGTACTGCCCCCGTAGACATATAGGGCGTTTATATATCTATTAGGGATAGAGGTCCTAAGCCATAGGACTTAAGGTAATTTATAAGAGGCGCGGTGCTAAGTTTATAATCTATAGCCTAGATTAACCGTGGTTTTAGTGCCTTTTAGATTATTATTTAGGCACCCGTTTTTAACGTAGTTTTAAGGTTAATTTAACCACCTATTTTTACACGTTTTTAACGTTTTTAGGTATAAAAGGAGCGCGCTTTTTAATAAGCCGTTCTTTAACCATTAGATTAATATCTAGGCCACTATTTTACCCTAGATTTACAGCTTTAAATTCAGCAGAATAGTCAGGATTAATCCTATAGTTCTAGGGGGGTATGTTAGATACCATAGCCACTTTATCCGGGTGTAATAAACTATATTATATTAGACGTGTGGAGTACCTCGCTCCTATATATCCACCCTTATTTCCCCTGCTTTTTCTGTATAGTTAGATATCCCCGTGAAGTATCATAAACTTCACTTAGATGAATACACACATAATTCCGCGTACCTTATTTGTGTTCTGACACACAATATGGTTTGTCACACCCCGATAAGGTGGCTGTGGCATCGGATATCTGACGAGAACCGAGATCTGTTCCTGTATCTACCTTATCCATGTGTTGTTTTCCGACACACATCCGCCATGAGTACGCACCACATTCGTCCCAAGTTTGACGTCCATCTTTTCTCGTCTCATTCCTTTTACAAGCTATCTTCTCCTGCGAGATAGCCAATCATCCTCGGACATCTCTCGATTACAGGGAACCAAGCCTCCACAGGTTCTGGCTGCCACGAACAACTACGATTCACCATGTGACGAAGATTCCCATCGGTTTTCTATCCCTCTCGCTGTTCTCTGCCTTGGTCCCTTATTCCACTCCCTTCCGGACTGAACGAGCCATGGCCGACTTCTCGCTTACTTCCACAATAAGAGCCGATGGCCTCTCCGTCACCGCTAATGGCTCAGAGATGTCTATCCCTTCGGCACTTGGTCCAGCCCATGATGCGGCCTCTGACAGCGGGACTTCGAGCTGGCTGGGCCTACTGGTCTGGTTTATCATCACGCTGATACAGTTCGCATCGTCCTGCCTGTATTTTATCATCCGCCTAAGCACGATTACCGTGCCTACTTTCATCTTCTCATTGCTTTCCACGAGTTGGACTGTCACGATGAATGCCACTACCCTGTACGTCTGCTCGAATCTACACGGCAGTCGATGCCGCTAACGCATTATGTTTTATGTAGGATGGTGATCATGGCGGCCGTGGCATCTGTTGCGACTTGGATAGTGCGGTATCGCATTCTCAACATGTACTCCCGACTTCCTCCGGAACCTCAACGGAAAGAGCCCGATATAGACCTTTTCCCGGACTCGCACGAAGAGGGTGTGAAGCCAGGATTATCTAACTATCTAGACGAGTTTCTTAGCGCCATCAAAATCTTTGGCTACCTCGAACGTCCAGTTTTCCACGAGTTGACCCGGAGTATGCAGACGAGGAAGCTGATCGCCGGGGAAACTATCAATCTGGAGGAAGAGAAAGGCTTCTGTATCGTGGTTGATGGATTTGTTGAGATTTTCGTCAAGTCTGGTCGCGCGTCGAGATCCGATGACACAAGCCTGCAACCCCGCTTCGACAGCGCCCCGGCGGATGAGAACGATGGCTTCCCGTCTGCACAACAGTACCAGCTTCTTACTGAAGTGAAGAATGGGGCTCCCATGTCTTCTCTGTTTTCGATAATGTCTCTTTTCACGGAAGATGTCCGTCTACGGGAGACAGACGAGGACACGCCGGAACCCAACGCGGCGCACTTCGAGCACAAGAACCATCAGATGGGCAGAGGTATGGCATCTCGAGCACCATCCCATCCGTCGTCTGGCTCTTATCCTGGCACACCGCATCTTGACGCGAACGAGGAAAAGCAATCCAGCAGGCAAGACGAATATGCCCGCCCAGTGATGGGGTCCAACGCAGGTAGTCGCTCCAGGATTCCATCTCTGTCTCTCGCCAGTGCGCCAACGCACCAGTTTTCGTCCACGCCTGATTTTCCCGATCACAAACCCTCCAGTTCAGCACATCCTGACATTATCGCCCGGGCGACTGTCGATACAACCGTCGCTATCATACCCGCCAGTGCCTTTCGACGGCTAACGAAAGTCTATCCAAAGGCGACGTCGCACATAGTCCAGGTTATACTCTCCCGATTCCAGAGGGTGACACTTGCGACTGCCTATTCATACCTTGGACTGTCGGACGAAGTTTTGCAAACAGAAAAGAGCATGAACCAGTACACCATGTGTCAACTTCCCAATCTGCTGCGGGGGGATGCGCTCTCGCGTCTGAAAACAAAATTTGCTCAGGAACGACAACGCCTTGGTATCGACGCAGATGGCAAGGGTATTGTTCTTCATAATGCCAACGCTCGGCGCCAGCGGCAGTCACGGACGACATTGCGCCAAGATGCTAGGATGCACCCGGCAGGCAAGGAACAACGTACGCCAGCGTCTGCAACGACCATGGACCATTCTCTCAGGGGCAAGACAGCGTCCGCTCACACCCCGAGCCCCGGCGATCTCCTCTCAAACCTTCACTTAGCGCGTGTTGGTCATCGGCCATCTAGCTCCGTGGACTTCTCTTATTACCCAGACACTCCGACTTCGCGGAGGGGGAGCCCCAGTCTTCCTTCACGACGTTCAATTCATCCCTTCACATTGCCTAATTATTCCCGCGTCTCGATCGGTGCTAGCGAGTCGACTGATGAAGACGGACTGTTTCGCACATCAATTCTGGAGTGCATGTTCAAGGCAATGGGGTTGAACGCGGCCGGTGGTGGTTCCAGAGAACCAGAATCTGTCGAAGGATCTCCGAAGCTGCCCCCCTACGACCAGAGACGCCAGAAGGCAGTGATGGGAAGCAATAATGCATTTGGCATCATCGGGCCCTTCGAAGGTGCGGACGGGGACACGGAATCCGTCACCTCGAGCAGCATAACGTTGAACAACACACCCAGTGCCCAGACCCTAGCCCATGACATGAGAGACGAGCTAGAGATTGTGTTCTTCCCCAAGGATTCTGTGCTGGTCGAACAAGGCGAAAGAAGCCCTGGCTTATATTACGTGATTGACGGCTTCCTCGACATCTGCACTGCAAGCAAGGAGCACTCTGCAGATATCTTCCGAACTGCAGGCAGATCATCTCTACAATCGGGCGTGCTAGCCAATCATGGCTCTTCATCCGACGCCGGTCAGCGAACTGGCGAGAGGAACAAGAAATGCAAAGTTCGTCAGAGTGTCTCGCTCATCAAACCCGGCGGACTGGCCGGCTACATCAGCACAGTATCTTCATACAGGTCGTTCATCGATATTGTCGCCAAGACGGACGTGTATGTCGGCTTCCTGCCCCGCTCCTCGCTGGATCGAATCGTGGATCGATATCCCATCGTTCTGCTGACTATGGCCAAACGATTGACGAGCCTCTTGCCCCGTCTCCTGCTTCATATCGACTTTGCACTGGATTGGGACCAAGTCAATGCCGGCCAGGTCATCTTCCACGATGGTGACGAGAGTGAAGCCATTTACATAGTGCTGAACGGGCGGCTTCGTTTAGTGGAAGATCGCAAGGGCGGAGGTCACGGGGTGACAGCGCGAGCCGAGTTCGGACAGGGAGACAGTGTTGGTGAACTAGAAGTGCTCACCGAGTCGGCTCGGTCGGGAACTTTACACGCAATACGGGAGACGGAACTCGTCAGGTTCCCTCGCAGTCTCTTCAACAGCTTGGCTCAAGAACACCCGAACATAACCATTAAGATCTCGAAAATCATTGCCTCCCGCATGCGGAGCCTCGTCGATGATCCGTCACCACTCATGACAAGGGAGGTAGGGGCGTCAGCGTCCCTCGGCAAAGGCTCCTCGGCACTGAATCTAAGAACTGTGGCCATATTGCCTGTCACATCGGGGGTTCCGGTTGTCGAGTTCGGCAGTCGTCTGATGAATGCTCTAGCACAAGTTGGACCGAGTAACGGCGCCAAATCTCTGAACCAATCGGCCATCTTGAATCATCTTGGGAAACACGCTTTTAACAAGATGGGCAAGCTTAAGCTATCCCAGTATTTGGCTGACTTGGAAGAGAAGTATGGCCTTGTTGTCTATGTTGCAGGTTCGTACAGATCAGTCTTCTCCCGTCTTCTCTTTCTCTTTCCATGATGAAAACCCGTTGTCCCAGAGGCCAAGCCGCTGATGGCTATTTGTTAACTCTAATTTTTTCCTGATCGTCGTCCTCTCTTATTCTGTCCACTCCTCATCCGAATGAGATGTCGTTCATACTGACCCTCCTTTTTTGTATGGCAGACACCAACGTAAACTCCCCTTGGACGCAGACATGTATCTCGCAGGCAGACTGTATTCTACTTGTGGGGCTTGCTGAGGGCTCTCCTGAAATAGGCGAGTACGAGCGCTTCATGCTCGGCATGAAGTCTACTGCACGCAAAATCTTAGTCCTTCTTCATGCGGAGCGTTATTCCACACCGGGCCTTGCTCGGTCATGGCTTCGGAATCGCATGTGGATCAACGGTGGTCACTACCATGTACAGATGGAGTTTCGCGCGAACATCATGCCGGTTCATTCTGCATCGAAACGGCCCAACACAACATTAAAGGAGCGGGTTCAGATATTACAAGCTGAAATACAGAAGTACGCATCGAGGAAACTTCGCCACACTCCGTTCTATTATCCAGACGCGCCTTTCAAGGGCGACTTCCACCGACTAGCACGAAGGCTTTGTGGGAAGTCCGTGGGACTTGTGCTCGGCGGCGGGGGTGCAAGAGGCATCACCCAGATTGGCATCATTCGAGCCATGGAAGAAGCAGGCATACCCATCGACATCGTGGGCGGAACGTCCATCGGATCCTTCATCGGAGCTCTTTATGCGCGACATGCAGATGTTGTTCCCATCTATGGTTTGGCAAAAAAGTTCTCTGGCCGCATGGCAAGCATCTGGCGCTTCGCTCTAGATTTGACCTACCCAACTGCCTCCTACACAACGGGCCATGAGTTCAACAGGGGCATCTTCAAGACCTTCGGCAAGGATCAGATTGAAGACTTCTGGCTTGAATTTTACTGCAACACGACTAACATCAGCAAGAGTCGGATTGAGTACCACACTAGCGGTTACGCCTGGCGATACATCCGAGCCTCCATGTCCCTTGCTGGTCTCGTACCCCCCCTGGCGGATGAGGGCAGCATGCTCTTAGACGGCGGGTACATCGACAACCTTACCGTCTCCCATATGAAAAGGCTTGGGGTGGACACCATCTTCGCTGTCGATGTAGGATCTCTTGATGACGATACACCCCAGGCTTACGGCGATTCCCTGTCTGGGGTGTGGGCCTTTTTCAATCGGTGGAATCCATTTTCCTCTACACCTAACCCACCGACGCTTGCAGAGATACAGGCTAGGTTGGCGTATGTGTCCAGTGTAGACGCGCTAGAGCGAGCCAAGACGATGCCAGGCTGCATATACATGCGCCCACCAGTCGACGAGTATGGCACGCTTGACTTTGGGAAGTTCGACGAGATCTACAAGGTGGGATACGAGTACGGAACGAAGTTTTTGCGGAGGTTGCGAGACCAGGGCGTACTTCCCCTGGTGGAAGAAACTGAGGCCAAGAAGGCGCTGCGGAGGACCATGGCGCCCCGGAGAGCGAGCATCTAATCGACCCGCGTGACTGTTGGGTGATGACATTCGGCATTCCTGCTCGGGAGAAGGCCCATGCCTGTCAGCTACAGAGTTGCTCAAGGCCTCCCTCCACATTCCCTCTACATCAGACAATCTCACTCCGTTCTCCCATTTTAGGCAGCGAGTATGCTCCGGGATGTGCATGATGAGAAGAGCCGGCGTTTGTTTTGATTCACACAGTAGCTTAACACTGCTTCCTCCTGTTTTGACCTCCCTGTATGCTGAGGTCGAATGTGAAATACGAGCATAGCAGCTTGCCCTACGGGCAAGGCCGCTACGCTCGCCCCTACGGGGGGCTACGGATATAACCCGCTTATATAACTATATTATAAATATATATATACTAACTAATATAGATAAGTATTATTACTTATAGATACGGACTATGTATTTCAAATAATTTCTAAAATATTATAAAAATATAAAACTATAATAATCGACTATAAGATTAACATTATAGATATATAGATATATATACTTCCTTAAGTATATAAGGAAATTATACCTTAAGTATAATATAAAAAGAGCGATATATAATAGTATTGGTCTTATATAATTTATATTTATATAGTGTTTCTACTTTTTATACTAATACTAATATAATATAATAATACTAAAATACCTTAATAGTTTAGTTTTATATCTATTTAAGTTCTTTTTATAATCTATTCTCCTTTAGCTACTCATATATCAAAATCCTTCTCTATTTTATACTTTTATAAAAGTATTTTAATCTATAAATACTTTCTACTAATATATATACCTCTAATCTCTTTTTAGACTTAGATTTATTTTAGTTTATCGTATTATTCGATAGAGGCTCTACGATATCGGGGCGTGACCTCGGGACCGTTTCGGGTATAGTTCGGGTATAGTCTTAGCAAGTACTAACGACTCTAAACAGCCCTAACCTCGGCTATATAAATAGTCATAGATACTTCCTATAAGGGAATCTTTCCCTTCTATAAAAGAATACGACCGTGATTCCCGTACCGATATTCGTATTCAGATAGTTATAAGCCCGGTGCTCTAGTAAACGATCCTATTCCGGAAGATATAATAGCTCTAAGAGACTATTACGGTTAGGGTTATTTATTAGCACGTCTACCTGCTTTATTATTCTTCGGCCTTACCGCCGTTATTATATAGTAACTCCCGAGGAGCACGCCCTTATATAAAGTCCTGGCGTTGACAAGGCACCTATTCTTCGGCTTTGTGCTGTTATTATATAACTGCTCCCGAGGAGCACGCCCCTATAAAAAGTCCTCGCGTTAACGAGCGAGGCACCTCTTTATTCTTTGGTTTTATACTAACCTCCTAACTATTCGGTTAGCGATAGAGGTCGGTTACCTACCCCCTAGTTAATAGACCTATCAAAAACCATCACCGAAGAGTTCCTAGATCTCTCGAAAACCTTATAAGGAAAAGAACCAGTTAATAAACCTACCGAAAACCATTATAAACAAAGAATTACTAGACCTCTAGAAAACCACGTGTTATAGAAGAAGTCAGCCCTCGCTCTAGCTCTTCGTTAAGACCTAGGGGGGTAAGGGAAGGCACCTCTATTATTATTACGGGAGCCGTTGCTCCTAGCGCTATTCCTGTTATTATTAGAGGAAAAGTATTGTATTGGCATGAGCCTCGGGGGTGGGCATAGGCCTCGGGGGCGGACATAAAAAGGGTGGACCTATAGTAAAATACTGGATAGGATCTAAATAGAGTAGTACTTCCGGAGGGATAATTAAAAGGAGTATCGTTAAGCCGAAAATGACCCTAAGGTACCGTATTATCGATAAAATTAATTCTAATATCGGATTCGGACTCTACGCCCTTAAAAGCACCGGAGACCGATATCGTAGCGAGACCGTAAAGGGCGCGGTGAGTTATATACTATAGGGCGGCCTGTAGGGCTAACCGAACGCGATACCGGTATACCACTATAAAGCGCCTAGAATATAATGACTAGAACTAACCCGGGGCGTATAGCCCCGGGAAAGCCCTAAAAATCCTAGGCACCGAGCGGGCGTACTAAAGGCGTACTATATAAATTACGTACCTAATTTTCCGGACTACTAGCTAATAGGGTAAGCGCCGATAAGGCGCTAAAGCTAGTATAGAAGATCCTTTAAACGTAATACTATAAGACTATTATAGGGAAGCCGCTACGCTAATAACCCGGTAACGATATACCTCCTCTTATAATTAAAAGGCTTACCGATATAATCTAATAAGCCATTAAGGGTATACTAATAGAACTACTCGGGGTAATAGGACCTAAGACCTACGCCTAGGTAGTAAAGAGTATACCCGGCGTAGCGCTAACGTATTAAGATAGCACCGGTAAAGGTTATACCTACCCGATACGCCTAAGAACTAATAGTCCGATACGGAGACGCTAAGACTAACCTTAAAAGCCGAACCCTATAAGAGATTACTAAGGCGGTTGATTAAGTTACCCGCTATATAGACGTAATAGCCGCGCGATAACTCCCGAGTAATAATATAATTCTTATATTTAAGTATAGGAATAAATAGTGGATAGCGAACGCGAATAACTAGATTAAAGGCGTATTCGGTATAAAAGCCACGATATATAAGAAAACGTACTAAATTATAGTAAAAGGAATACCGATAGCGTAGCTACTAACTTATGACCCCGACGCGGCGTTATAAGAACTTCGGCTATAGAATAATATAGCGATTACCCGGATTAAGGCTAGGAAACCCAGGAATAACGTAGCGTGGACGGCGTTACTAATTATTAAAGTCGCCCGCCCCGAGGACACGGAGCGATTAATAAAGGAGGGAGTTCTTTAATTACGGATACTATAATAGTAAACCCTATAACCCCGAGATCTCCCTATAACGGTGCTTTAAGTGCCTTAACTTCGGATATAAAGCAGGTTAGTGCTAGGCGATAAAAGCGCTATATGGGTATTACGGCGGTATAGAGTCAGCATACTAAGGGGGCTTTACGGCGTGCGAAGCTAAGATAAACCCGAAGAAAAGGCGTTACGCCGCCTATAAAGGGCTATACGCGGTATTCGACGATAAATACCTAAATACAGTAAAGGAAAGGGCGGGGACTAAGGAGGTATATACTAATAGGGTAAGGGGATTCGACCTTATCTAACTTAAGAAATATAGGGTAAAAAAGGAGTATAGCATCTTTACGGTGTTATTAGATATAATAGTAGTCCCCGAACTGCCTAAGAACAAGAGAAAGTAAAAAGGACGCCTTTTAGGGGCGCGGAATATCCTCCTTAGATCGCGTACTACCCTCTTTACGCTTACTTAGGATAATAATATTATAAGGTTCCTCGCCTTTATTACTACCTTCTAGCCCTTATAAAGCTTTACCCTTTACCCCCGGGCTATACCTAAGGCGTAACTATAAAGCGAAGCGAGCGCGGCGTAGCCGCCTAAGATAAATAATTAGAATCGCTTAGTAGAATATAGGGGGATAGCGGGATAGAGTATAATAGGTGCTTTATAACCGTAGCGGGTATAATATAATAGCGGTAATGGAGCCCGGGTTAGATAAGAGGAAGAACCTGATTTACCCGAGGGGATATAATTATAGGATAGTATAGGGGAGTAGGCGCGCCCTACTCTATATATATAAGCGGTATGAGGCCGCTATATTTTTATAGCGTATTAGTAAGGATTAGGCCTAAGCTATAATTAGAGTTAGGATATAATAGTAGGCGATAAATATATAGGTAGTATACTTACTATACTATAAAGGAGAAGAGTAGGAGACCCTAATATATAATCTCGCGGCGGAACCGGAGCGGTAATACACTATCCTAATAGGAGACTTTAACCTAAAAAACCCCTTTAGGACGGGTATAATAGATATAATAGATAATTAAAAGACCTTATTACGCTCGCGCATGAATAGTAACTTAACCTTATAACCCTAAAAGGATATATTACTAGGACCTTGGCCGATACTAATCGATAGTATAGTATACTAGACCTTACCTAGGTTTTAGCGGACCTTATATACGTATACTAGGGGGACGATCTAGACCTAATAGGCTTAGACTATATAGCCTAGGTAATTAATATCGATATAGCGTAACCGCGCTAGCGTATCGCTAGTAAAGGATAGAGGTAAAGGAAGTTGGACCGGGAAACGGCCTAAAGAAAGGCCTAGAGGCTAGACTATAGAGAAATACCCCTTACCCCGGAAGTAATCGACTAGGTAATAAACTAGATACTATAGGACCTTATTAGTATCACGGACGCTACGGCGCCGCGCCGCGAGCTAGCCGCCTTCCGCGATAGGCCGTTATAATAAACGTAGGAGATAGTAAAGGCGAATAAGGAGATAATAAGGCTAACACGGCATTACTACGGGCGGAGGTTACGCGGTAAGTAGAATAAACTTAAGGAAGTAGAAAAATATCGCGATATTCTAATTAGAATAAAGAAGCGGAAAAGCTAGCGGGGCGCCGTTAATATAATAGTAGTAGACTAAAGAAGCCTTTAGGTATTATAACGCTAGGCCTAGACGGTAAGCCACCTGCCCCTAGACCTCCTATCTATCCCGCCCTTATAGCGTAGCGCGGGCGGACCGGTCGCGATAATATATAACGGGAAAGCGATAATCCTTATAAAGAAGTTTTCCCCCCTACTATACCTTATAGAAAGCGGGCGTATCGGCGGCGCGCCGAGGATAACGGTAATACTACTTATATAAGAGGTTACGGAAAAGGAGGTTTAATAGGTTATATAATAAATAGTAAAGTAAAAGGTACCCGGGGAGGATAGCCTATTAAATAGATTCCTACTCGCCTATAGCTAACTACTCTATAGGCGACTAGTATAACTCTTCTCCGCGAGCCTTAAGGCTATATATTTCCCGTAATAATACTATACCGTAAAAGTAGTAATACTTAAGAAACTAGGTAAACCGAAGGAAGCTTATATAATAGCCTTAGGGTAATAACTGATATTACTTATTAGCGTAACCGGGAAGGTCCTAAAGAAGATAATAGCAGGGAGAATTATAACCGTAGCGGAGGAGTACTAACTCCCCCCCGCTGGATAGATAGGTAATTATAGATACTACGATATAATAGTAGCGGTTAAGGCCATTATAGAGGGAGTATACGCCGTGTAGGAGTATAGCGGGGCTATAGCGTAATTAAAGCTCGATATCTAGGGCGCCTTTAATATAGTACTATACTAAAAACTCCTTAAAGTCCTCGCCTAGTACGGCTTCCCGGACTAGGTTATAAAATAGACTTAGTTATACCTTATAGCGCGCACAGCGCGCCTACGCTTTAACGGCGATATAGCGTATTAGGTAGAAATCTAGGCGGGAGTCCCCTAAGGATCGCCCTTCTCCCCAATCCTCTTTATACTATTTATTA